CCCAAAGCCCCCTCCCTCAGGTGCATCTCCAAATTAGCTTAACCCTTTCCTCGCAAGCCAGACTCTCCTTTGTAGTACCTAGTCATGACACTGTTACCATGATCCGATAACAGGAGCTATTGCTTTCGCTCAGCCACCAGAAACTGGTGCTGAAGGTAGTAGGTTCAAACCTGCTATTGACCCAAGCTGCACTACCTGCCTCCTCCACAAGGTGAAGCTACTTGTGTGCGTGTGGTAGGTAGCAGATTGCATGAAAGCAAAGAGAAAAAGGGCCGGTCCCTTAAGAGTTTCCTGCAAAAGATGCACCAAAGTGCTGCTGCAAAACAAGTATTTGAATGTAATAATGTTGAGCTTCGCAGAAATGGGGCTTAATGGACAAACAAAGCTCTCAGCCCAGTGCGGTGGGGTAATGGAAAGGATAAAGCAATTCACTTTCACATCATTAAGGTGATTTGCGGGAAGTGGATGGAATGCAAGAGCTGCATTTGGAAGGAGTTAAGCTGAACGGGGTGGGAGGAGGCATGCAGCTTCCCAGATCCTTTTAAAAGATGCTAGAAGCGAGCCCCAGCAGTGCCATTGATTGCCAGCTGGCTTACGGTTGGCACTCGAAAGGGCCTGGCTCAGCGCAGTTGCGGTATGGGGAGAAGGATTAAGGGGGGCTCCCTGAGAATGCCGCGAAGGAGGGTGTGAAACAGAAGCAAAGAGGGAGAGCTTTTCCAAAACCCCCCAGATGGCCCTGGATTTTTCAGGGTTGGGTCAGCTCCCCCTAGACAGATCCTCTGCCCTGTTTGCCAGGTTGAATCAGCGGAGGCCACATTGGTCAGAAACATGACACTCCTCAGCTGGAGGGTGGTGTCCAGTTCTGGGTACCACATTTCAGGAAAGATGTGGAGAAATTGGAGAGGGTCCAGAGACAAGGAATAAAAATGATTAAAGGCCTAGAAAACATGAGCTGGGAGGGAAGATTGAAAGAATTGGGCTTGTTTAGTTTAGAAAAAGGAATGAGAGGGGGTATGATAGCAGCTTTCAAGTACTGGAGGGTACGTCTAGAGAGCAACGTTATTTCGAAATAACTGAGTGCGTCTACACAGCAGGCTGATGTTTCGAAATAATGTTGAAATACTGTCAAGCTGGAGGACTGCTTATTACGACGCCTGTAACCCTCATTGTACGAGGAATGAGGGAAGTCAGAGGAAGAGTGCTCTGATTCGAAATAAGTGCTGTGTAGCTGCTCCCAATTTCGAAATAAGCTATGCAATTGACGGAGCTCCATTTGCGTCGCTTATTTCGTGTTGAGCCCTGCTGTATAGACACTTCCTAAAAGGATGTTATAAAAAGGTGAGAGAGAAAAATTATTCTCCTTGGCCTCTGAGGACAGGACAAGAAGCAATGGGCTTAAATTGCAGCAAGGGAGGTTTAGATTGGACATTAGGAAAAACTTCCTACTTGTCAAGGGGGTTCAGCACTGGGGAGGTTGTGGAATCTCCATCTCTGGAGATATTGAAGAGCAGGTTAGACAGACACCTGTCAGGGATAACCTCCTAGATGGTGCTTGGTCCTGCCGTGAGGGCGGGGGACTGGACTCGATCTCTTGAGGTCCCTTCCAGTTCGAGTGTTCCCATTTCACAGGCAGCGAAACTGAAGCACAGGGTGGGAGGATGAAGACTTGCCCAAGGTCACCCAGCTGGGCTCATTGGTTTTACACACCTGGGCTTTAACCACTAGGCCATGCTTCCCACACATGGAACTGCTGCCCTGTGAGCGTGCACAGTGTCACCGTGCCACAGGGAGACGTACAGATTCATCAAGCGGCCTGGGGCACATCTGTTTCCCACCTCCGTGGAAAAGGAATCCCAACGGAGCCGCCTCCTCGGCAAGCACACGATGCACATGGAATTTCTGCAAATAGGCAGCCTCGTGGGGTGCCGCCCGAGACAGCCTGCCCTGCCCCTGTGAGCAGGAGGTGGGCGCTGGGCACTGACCAGGGAGATGCAGCAGCATCTTTATATGGAGGAGGCACGTGGGCAGCTACTTGCTCCCTCTGAGGGTCTCTCTCTTGCTAGGAGGCAGCATCGCCCCGTGTCCAGTGTGCTCCCCTCGCTTCGGGGGACCCCTCTGTGCCCCTGCACCAGCAGGATCAAGCCTGCACCATGATCTCACCAGCCCCCATGCTCTGTCAGACAGGGGCTCACGCAGGGGCTGGGCAGCTGTGCTCTCAGCTTTGAGGGCTGCAGAAGGGGGTAAAGAGGAAAGCTTTGACGCTAAGGAGTTGCGTTTGCTTCTTGGCTCCCCCCACCCCCACCCGCATGGCTGTAGAGAAGTGGCTTGGGGCTCCTCCCATTACAGGACAAGTTCTTCAATACCCAACCCTGGCTGGGGGGGCTTAGTCGCGCTGGACAGTTTTCCCATCTGTAAAATGGGCACAGTCATTCTACACTGCTCCTGCCCCTTGTCCGTTTAGACAGTCAGCTCTTCCAGGCAGGCCCTGCCTCTGTCCCTGTGTTGGAGCCAGGCCCAGCCCCACGGGCCTGATCTTGGAGGCGCTTTCTCGGTTGTGCTGCAACAGCGCTTGCCCTGTGAATCCGGTCTAGGAAGGGCCGCTCCAGAGATGGCTTCCAGCGTCAGGCTCTCTCCCCTGCTTCTTCCTAAGTCCCTTGATGCCAGCGCAGTTTCCAGCCTGCCCTCCCGGCACCGCTGCGATTTTGATGCTCCCGGGGAAGGGGGGTTAATTGGCCTCGCTCAAAAGCGGCGCGAGCGTCCTGGCTGCGCATGCCAGCCCATCCCGGCGGCAGAGGCGAAGGGCTGAGAACGGGACGCTCGGGACAGGGTTGAAATGTGGGACTGTGGGGTTGAGAGGAAAGGGGACTCGTGGTGCCACAGCGCCCTCTGGAGACACAAGCCCCCCACGCACCGGGGAGGCAGAAGACTGGCCAGGCAGAGCCCTGAAGGGTGGGTGGCGGGAGGGGCGGGGGTCTCTTATGAGGGATGTTCAGCCGCATCCACCTGGGTCAGATGCTGGGTATGACGGATCCACTTCCAGCAGGGCAGGGGGCAGCCAAGGCCTTGCCTCGTTTGTCTCCCACTCGTCTCCCGCTCACTCTTTCTCTTGTTCATCCCCTTTTTCATTCTCTTCCACTCGGTTCCCTGTGCATCTGCCCCCATGTCTCTGTCCCCTGTGCATCTGCTCTCCCCCTCCCCGTCTCCGTCCCCTGTGCATCTGCCCCCATGTCTCTGTCCCCTGTGCATCTGCTCTCCCCCTCCCCGTCTCCGTCCCCTGTGCATCTGCCCCCATGTCTCTGTCCCCTGTGCATCTGCTCTCCCCCTCCCCGTCTCCGTCCCCTGTGCATCTGCCCCCATGTCTCTGTGCATCTGCCCCCCATGTCTCTGTCCCCTGTGCATCTGCTCTCCCCCTCCCCGTCTCCGTCCCCTGTGCATCTACTCTCCCCCTCCCCATCTCCGTCCCCTGTGCATCTGCCCCCATGTCTCTGTGCATCTGCCCCCCATGTCTCTGTCCCCTGTGCATCTGCTCTCCCCCTCCCCGTCTCCGTCCCCTGTGCATCTGTGCATCTCCTCCCCCCCCCCCCCTCTCCGTCCCCTGCCCATCTGCCCCCATGTCTCTGTGCATCTGCCCCCCATGTCTCTGTCCCCTGTGCATCTGCCCCCCATGTCTCTGTCCCCTGTGCATCTGCTCTCCCCCTCCCCGTCTCCGTCCCCTGTGCATCTACTC